AGACAGAACGCGTCGAGGCAGACCCCGGCCGGGGTCCTCGCCAACATGTGGATTCGTCACGCCTCCTGGACGGTGCAGTCCCGCCTCCCCCGCACCCCGCAGGGCCTGCCGGGCCTGCCCGACACTTCGGACGTGTTCAAACCCATTTAATACGCAGCCATTCCCAGACTGGCCGTGCGCTCCTACCGCCTTAAAGCGCTCCGGTGATGGCATGCTGGACATAATGACGCCGAGGAAAGTTTCGTTGGTGCCCTGGAGCTGGTTGAAATGACGCCAAAGGGAAGGCAACGGCAAAATTTGGGGCCCTGCAATGCCATCAAAAACAGGCTCTTAAGACGACTACACTTCGACGTTCGCTGCTTGTCCCCATGATGAACGTTTGACGAGGCGGTGCTGATCATGATGGCGCCTGCTGTACGCTGGGTAGGCCAACCCGCTAAGCTGCTGTGTGAAGACGGCGGCCCGCCCAGAGCGCCCAAGTGCCCAACGTCCCCTCGTCCTCTCACAACGGGAAACATTCGCTGCGGGGGCACACCTCAACTATGGTGTGGTTTTGATAAAAAGTGTTTGTGTCCTGGGGAAGGCCACCGCCATCCACGAGTGATTGATGATGGTTCATGGTGCGCGGGGGGGCTGCGGGGCGCGGTGGGATAAGCCAGCGGCAAAAGCCCAGCCTGGAGCCCCTGCACGCGGCCCAGAGCACGCCCCGCCGCGCTACACTGTGGGTCCAAGTACTTTGCTCTGGTTAATTTGGAAAAAGAAGGGAAAAGGGAAAGGAAACTCAGTGATTACTGTACAAATCAAAGCTTTAATAAATCAACATGACCTATCCAATAAAATATTACAATCACAATGAGGGGGGGAAAATATCACATTGTAAGACATTAACAACTTTGTCAGATTTTTATTAGTTTTAAATTTTAAAAGCAGCTTAAACAAGGAAACATTTCGATCTTGCAGTAATTTCCAGAAAACACTTTGTTTTTAGCAAAAATAGTAAAAGATATGAGCACCATTCCCATTAAAGTCACACAAATGATAAACAAAATACACAACCAAGTTTGATTCCTACAAAAGGATAAAAGAAATAAGATATATATAAATTATTTAAAGCTGAAATAGACCATCACAGATCCACCATTAAAGGAAGATTTTTTTGGTTGTTTTCTTTTTTGATTCAAAATTCTGAGGTTTGTATAACATAAACACCGAACATAGACAGTATGGTTAAGAAAGCCTATCTGTCAGCTGTCAGCAGAGCCCCCCCCAAAAATTTTTGGTATTGCAGGACAATTATTCCTGATTAACCAGCTGGTATGATCATACAAATGAAAAAGAAGCATCTTAACCAAACTTTGGATGCAACATAATTTATGTTCTCAACATAAATTATTACTCTTGTTACAGTATTGCTGTGGTAAAAATAATTAGATAAAAATGGAATGCTGGAGTAGGAAACGTTCAAAGCACAAACTCAGGTTAACTGGGCAAACTAAGAACTTTCGGGGTAGAAATCAATTCAAAATCAGTCACAAATAAGTAATACAAATTTACACAATACCAATTAAATTAGACACAATGTTATACAAAGCATGCATTTCTATGAACTGGATGCCGGCACAACAACTAATTCTGTAGGACCTTCAGGAACAGGAGATGAAACAATTGGTGCTGTAATAGCCGGAAGAGGTGGAGCTGCACTTTTCAAGTGCTGAACTAGTTTACGTACCCCAACCATCCAGGAACTGCACATAGCTGCGTGGTCAACCATTAGTCCAACATGAATGTGGTCAGCATGGTCAACATTACCCATTTTGAGCTCTGTGCAAAGAATACATAATTTGATAAAAAGTGTCAACAATGCCATCATATTTAGAATTTTTAGGCATGTACAAACCTTCTGAGAGTTCCAGTACTCTACGTTGAACAGAGGCATTGAGCTTGTCTTCTTCCCACATTTTTTGCAAGATTGTGATTCGCTTTTTAATCTCAGATCTCTGGAAAGGAAAGAAATTCTGTCAATAGACTCAAATCATTTTTAAAGTGTAATTAAAGGAAAACAAATCCTCAGTGAAAGATAAATTACCTCAGCTTGAGATAAGCTGAAGCTCTGATTGACAACTCCCTCTAGATTAGAAATCACTTTGGACATTGCTTCCAATTTGTCTGGCAGAGGATCATTGTTTGCATTGCTACATTCGCTAGATGTGCGACTCCGATTCCCAGTAAATCCAACTTGGAGGCCACTAGGAGGAACTGCTGTAGTTATAGCAGATGGAGGAAGAGTTGGATTCATTCCACCGGTAGGAGGCGAGCTTCCCATTTGAGGGGCCATTGGATATGCAACTCTCTTATTTAGTAAACTTGATCTTCTTGGTCCAGTAGGAGGATTAAGGGCATCATAAGTAAAGTTTGGAGGATCATTCCAACCCGGATCAGGAACAGAACCTGAAATGAGAGAATTAAACAAAAGAGTGTCATTTATTTTTTTTCAAAATTGAGGCAACAGTCGCTCAAACTGTACGACAAGATAATGTGCTATTTCAAGAATTAATACCCGGGTCAATTTTTTATAGATACAATCACTGATCAGTGTTGACAGAAAAGGGGTTTTGTTTACATCAATACATTCCCCCTTACAGTGCAAAAAGGAGACAGTAGGAGGTGTCAGGGCTGAGTCACTGTTCGCATCTTAAGTAAGCACTGTGCCCCACATAACTGACAAGGCAAGAGACTTGATCCTCGACTGATAAGACAAGGAAAGGGGTCATTTGTTTACCTACGCAAATGCGATCTAACCCCACAGGCAAGCCGCAATAACTCAACAAACCTCTGTTCCACACATCGAAATCAAAAAACGTAGAAAATGAATGACAGAGTGCTGGATTATACTATCATATACTTTAAAGTGTTCAACCAAAGGTCTTTCGCAACATAGTAATACATGTTTTTACCTTTTCTTTGTACCACCTCAGCAGCAGACTGATCCATGGTGACTACGATGCTCCGCTGATAAAATTCTGATTCGGCAACCAGACTTGACGTCCAAATTTTGTAGAAAGGGTGTATCTCTTAGTTATTTTCCGTGTCTCAAAAAATATAAAATAATGTCAAAGCAAGGAGTTTCTTTACAGAAAAACAGACAACACCCATATGTTTTCTCGTCTGCGTCTTCCACTATACTCACTGTCAGTAATACCTGCAGGCTTATGTACAGCTTGGCTTCGAATCGAAAACGAATCTAATCTCTATTCGCAGTATGCAGCACGAGTAAACACGAGTAAACGTGAGCAGAGAGGTTAGAAGATTGTATTTCAAGCATGGGGCAAGAACACAAACCTAGTGCCAGCAGCAAGAAACCATTAAAACAGAAAAATAATGGCAAAACTGGGAAGAAGAAAGTTAAAGTTTGGGCTGGAAAGAAAAAGGGTGTTCGAGAGGAAGTGGTCATTGAACGGTTGAGAAGCCAGTACAAGAAGGTATATATTTGTGAATGTGCTAAAGACTGTCCTAATTGTCAAGTACAAGTTTTCTCTCTATTTTTAAAAAATAATCTAAGTATTTAGTAAATTCATTTTCATTAACTCACAATAGTATTTCTTTCAGCTCTCCCATATCGCTAAATAAAGTGTTTGCAATTCTCTTTCAGATAAATTCAAAGAAAATTAAGAATTTTAATGATTTCCCTCTGTCGGATGCAACTCTGAAAGGTCTTAAGGATAACGGGTTTTCTGAGCCCACAGAAATTCAACGTGAAAGTATAGGATTAAGTTTACGAGGACAGGATATTTTGGGTGCAGCAAAAACAGGAAGTGGAAAAACTTTGGCATTTTTGATTCCAGTAAGATATTCAAAATATATGCAAGACAATTTTGTGTTAGATTCAGTTGTAATGTAACCATTTTCCCATTTTTTAAAAATTTTAGGTCTTAGAAATCTTGTACTGTAAGCAATGGACCCGCTTGGATGGTACTGGTGCTCTAATAATTACTCCAACCCGAGAACTTGCTTACCAAATATTTGAAACGCTTCGTAAAGTTGGTGCTCATCATGACTTTTCAGCTGGACTCATCATTGGTATGCATAATATTTTTAGACCTATGGCTGTTTTTAGTAGTTTTGTATCTTAATTTCTTACTGTACATGCTTTCATGATACAGGTGGCAAGGATCTTAAGTTTGAAAAATCCAGGATGGATCAAGTTAATATCATCATTTGCACTCCTGGGCGCTTATTACAACACATGGATGAGAATCCTTTATTTGACTGTCACAATCTTCAGGTTATTAGTTTTATCTCTATAGAAGTACTTGTCATTGAGATTTAAATCAAAATAATAGTCATATTAGAAAAATCACTTTCCTTTCAGGTTTTAGTTTTGGATGAAGCTGATCGCATTCTTGACCTCGGTTTTCAACAATCCATGAACAACATAATTCAAAATATTCCTACCGAAAGACAGACTCTTCTCTTCTCTGCTACTCAAACCAAGTGCGTAATGTACCTTTAAAATACATCCCAATGTATACCGTAAACTAGGGTAACTTTGGCCCACCGGGGTAACTTTGTCCAGGGCCTAAAGTTGTGTTTAAAATGCTAATACGGTGCTGCAGAGTTCACTGTAGCCTGCAGCGAATTCTCCGTAAGCTACAGTGAACTCTGCAGCACCGTATTAGCATTTTAAACACAACTTTAGGCCCTGGACAAAGTTACCCCGGTGGGCCAAAGTTACCCCAGTTTCCGGTATTTGAATCGTCCTTTAGTATTTTCTTCTTATGTTTTGATAAATGTAATTATTTTCTCATCTTCAAACCTGATTTTGTTTTTAGGTCTGTGCAAGACTTAGCAAGATTAAGTCTGAAGGATCCTATGTATGTTTCTGTCCATGAGCATGCTGCCCATAGCACTCCAGAATCTCTTGCTCAGAGCTACCTTGTATGTGAGCTGGAGGAAAAACTTACTGTTTTATATTCTTTTTTAAGAAATCATGTTAAACACAAAATTCTGGTATTTATGTCTAGTTGTAAACAGGTAAGAACTCAATTATGAATTATGTAGCATTTGTGTAATGTTCATAAGATTTAATTTTTTTACATCCTCATTACTTTTACTATTTCCTTCCCAGGTCAAATTCATGTATGAAGCATTTTGTCAACTAAGAACAGGTGCTAGTTTACTGGCTTTGTATGGATCACTGCACCAGATGAGAAGAATGGCTATTTATGAAGAATTCTGTCGAAAGTCAAGAGTGGTTATGTTTGCGACTGATATTGCAGCTCGTGGATTGGGTATGAAAAGCAAATTCAAAAATATTTATTTTGTTCTGTTTTTCGATTATGTATTGTCATTTCAAAAGGGGGCTTATTCCTTAGATTTTCCTGCGGTAAATTGGGTTGTGCAGTTGGATTGCCCAGAGGATGCTGACACATACATTCACCGTGCAGGTAGAACTGCAAGATTAGAGAAATGTGGAGAAAGTTTACTGATTCTCCTACCATCAGAGAAAGATGCAATGCTTCAAAGACTAGAGGACCGAAAAATTCCTATCAAGGAAATAAAGTAAGTTGAGATCAATACATTATAATTGCAGTTCATAGCTGTAACCACAATGTTTACTTATAAATCTGTCATGTTTTGCATTTTTAGAGTAAACCCTGAAAAGCTGCAAAATCCAAGTCGAAAGTTAGAATCATTTCTTGCACAATCACCGGATTTGAAAGAAACAGCTCAAAGAGCTTTTGTTTCTTATGTTAAATCCGTATTCCTCATGAAAGATAAGAAAGTTTTTGATGTTAAAGCTTTAGACACAGATGCATATGCCAGGTAGATTTAAATAATGAATTATTTTTTGTTGGAGTTTGGAAATTATAAGTGAATTTACTTACAATTGATTGTTTTTTAATATTCTAGATCCCTTGGATTGGCTGTGCCACCACGAATTAGATTTTTGCAGAGGAAATTACAGCAAGAAAATGCCAAGAAGGACCAGCAAATTAAGAAATTGCTTGATGCAAAGGTTAAGTCTAAATCAGAAAACAAAACAGATTCTGGTAAGATCAATGATTTTGACGATGAGAGTGGGGCTGAGGATGATCACAAAAGTGGAGAAACTTCTTCTGAAAGTGAAAGTAATGATGAAGAAGATTCATCAACAAAACTAGACAGTGAAACTCAGAAAAATGTTTCTAGGAAAGGCACTTCTGAAGGATTTAACTTTGGATCAGGTCCGTTTTGACTGAACATTCTTAAAAATGCATCTCAAAAGGTTGACTCTGAAGTAATTGTTTTTTTGTGTGTCTTTCATTTAGATGACAGTGATAGTGATGATGGCGACGTCCTTAAATTAAAGCGGCGTAATCATGAATTAGTCAATGACATTGCTCCTCTCACTGAAGAAGATTTAACTAAACCAGAAAGTCGGAAAAAGAGCCAGCCACTCACCAAAGCAGCTGTTGCTAAGAAATTTTTGCGAAAGAAAATTCAAGCTAACAAAAAAGTAGTGTTCGATGAAAGTGGAGAGGTATGCCATATTCAATAGTCACCCTTTATTTTGAAATGTTCATTCTCTTTGATTTATATTCTGTATTACACTTCAAATGACATTTTTGGTACAGGTTGTTTTAGACCCGAAGAGTCAGAAAATGTCAGCCTTAGCTCAAGAGTATGATGGGGAAGATGTAGGAGGTATAGATATAGAGAAGGCCAAAGCAATGATGATAGAAGAAGATCAATTTGACAAGCAGAGATTCAGAGAAAAAATAAGAGCAAAACACAGGTAAAAATTTATCACCAACATGGCTGTATCTTCTCACAGTATTTGGTTCTCATCTTGATATTTTTATTCAGGGAAGAAAAGAAGAAAGCCAAACTAAAGAAAGAGGAAGAAGCAGAACATGATGATTTCAGTAGTAGTGATGAAAGTGCACCTGACCTATCTTGGCTCCCTGATCCTGATAAAATTTATGGCAAAAGAGGAAGTGATGAGGAGAGTGAAGAATTTTATACTAAGGAGGACACTTCAGGTTACCCTAGTGACAGTGGTAGTGATGCTAAAGAGATTCAGACACAAAATGAAGAAAGTTCCCCTCTAAGGTAAGTAGCCTGCTAGCATTACCACTTTCCTGTTAAGTATTTTTCATTATTTTAACTGTGTCTTCTGTCTGTAGGACCAAACGCAAGTTGAAGAAGCAGGGTGGCAAAAAAGTGAAAAAGGTGCGGAAGGTCAAAGAACAATCCTTTGCTACACTGGATACTGGTCTCTCCTTACAAGAAGACGAAGAACTTGCTTTGAAGTTCTTAAGAGCTAGCCGATCATAATTATAATTATTGTGACTATGAATAATTTTTCTCTATGTGATACTGAAAAATGGAGGGTTATTGAAACCGTTCCAATTATTAATGTATTAAATGTATATTATGGTGAACTACATTTGGTAATTTCCCACAATGTAATATGCACACCTATTCCACATGACATCAGGATATACTCCTTGCTTCAATCGTGGGGTATCATCAGGCACCACCCGACTACATGGTTAAAAGCACCTGTAGACCTTTAACTTGTATACTGAATTGTGCCAAAACCTTCGTACACTTGTCTACCTGTAATTTTGCCTGTCGAAGCTATGTGTTTCAAATATATTTTCGCGAAAGGGACAAACAGCGACATCAGGTACTTACTTATGTCAGTCGGTCGCCGCTAGGGCGCAGCACGGGCTACGACAGCCGTACGCCGTACGGCCACAGAATCAAACAACGATTTTCGTCCCATCATCTCTCTCAGAAGGAGAAAAGCAACGCGTTTTTTTCGAACAAAGGGGCACTGTGTAAGGACTTAAATGAGGATCGGACTCTGAGTTGCCCTCAACTTTGATAGGGCCTATAGGGCGCTAGCAGACAAGGCTTCACGAGGCGCACCGCGCCGGTGGCGCTGTGGCGCAGTGGAGCAGCGGCAGGCGCGCGCGGCTCGCGGCTCAGCTCTCAGCTTCAGCTTTCAGTTGCGTTCTGCCACGAGAGGCAAGCACTTCGCCGCGCTGAGGACGTGGAGGATTCGCTCCTTAACACTTTCTGCTTGTTGTTGACACCTGTTGTCGGTGCGACAATAAGAACCGCCGTCCCGCGTTGACAGTGCCGAGACAGTTCGTGTGTGCCTTAGTGTGTGAAAGTTCAAACGAGTGACGCGTGGATTGAAATGAAAATTGTGTTTTCGTGTGTAGTGCTTCTCTGATCACCTTACCTCCACCGGCATCGGATTTTCTTTTTTTGCTCTCATCTTTTGGATACCCACCACCGTCTTTTGATCGGATAATTTCAACGTGGAAAGGTAAGTAATGACCTGGCGTCATCTAGTTGGCAAATACGCGTACATACCGAGGAAAACGGAGACGGAGATCATACCTGTAACGCTGTGACGAGTCGAGCGCAGTCGGAGCCGGCCGGCTCCCGGAGGCATGCCGAGCCGAGCCGAGGCCCTGCCGAGTGAGGCCGGGGGCCGGGGGGCGGCGGGGCCCGGGGCCAGCTTGGGGCCGAGGAGCGGGCGAGTTCGCGTTGCCGCCCACCCCTCCCCTCCCCGCACCCCCCCGTCAAGCAGGCCCCACGGTCCATTGACCGCCCGACTCGGCCTGGAGGTAACTACCTGACTCGCCTCGGCGGGTGGGTTGGGCTGGGCGTGTGTAGGGCGCCTTTGACTTGCCAGCCAAGAAAATGTTTCACCGTATCGCTAGACTTGAGCCGCATCCTCGCGTTCATTTGATATT